CCATATTTCATCAGAAACAACTTGTTTTTCTGGCACGCTTGCAGATTTTCTTTCTTTCTTTCTTTCTTTCATCCTTTCTTTCTTTCTTTCTTTCTTTCTTTCTTTCTTTCTTTTTTAGTGTTGTTTTCTTTTTTTGATTTACCTGTTGATTTTAGATTTAAGTTAAAGATTTTATTGGTCACATTTAAACCTTGTCAGGGTCTGGCCTACAGCTGTATAACAGCAATGTTGACCCCATATGATCCAATTGGCAGTCTTTGACCCTCAGGTGGGTCTTTCTGACGGTTCCAAAGTCGAGGCTTGAATCTAAAGGTGATCATGCTTTTGCCATCAAGTAAATAAGCGTGAAAACCCCATTTTTATAGACTTGCTTTTATGTGATGTCATCTATTTTATTTACTTATTTTTTTTCACGTTACCCTATTTTTATGCATTTACTCTCAATTTTATTGTATTGTTTTTCTTTTATTTGTTTTATTCTTTCCTTTATTTTTCTATTGAATTGTTTAATCTATCAGTTGGCATTTGTTTCATTCATTTATTCATACGGAAATTTATTTTTTACATTTTTAACTTTATTGCTGCACTTTTTGCGTCTTGGCCTGTCTGGTTTTCTGTTCTACTTTTGTCTTACAGAATATCCACCTTTTTTGACTCGACTGTCAAAGCACTTTGTAAACTCTGTCTCTTTTAAAAGATGCTGTAGATGTTTAACAGCAATGCATCAGCAAGTGCAGACTGAGTTAAACCCACCTTCTCTGTGTGAGACTCCTTTAGCAGTAAACCACCACTGCACCAGTACACCGATGACACTCAGGACAGGACAGATCCCACTGATCGCCCAGTTAAACCAGCAGAGCCGTCGTGGGGCAACTTCACAAAACATATCGTACACCTGATCGGGCAGCACGAACGTCCCCACCAGGTAGTCCACACACAGCATCACTGTGGTCGCCCCAAACACTGAGGCGTAGATGATGCTGAAGAGTTTCTGCCACTGCAGTGTGAAGACAGCAGTGGTGATGCTGGCAGCCAGTACAACACTGAGAGGCACCCAAACCGGAGTAAGGCTGTGAGACTGTCCGATGATCACCAGGATGGAGAGGGAGAGCAGGCTGCCCAGCTGGAGGCCGCTGACCAGGAGTCCCATCGTGGACACCAGCATGGTCATCAGGCCACACAGCACCCCCACACCCAGACCGATGCCCGCCTTCGTCTCTGTCCCCAGCTGGATGTTCAGCACAGGCTCTTTGTGGTACAACAGGAGCACAGCTGCTGAGCCAAGCATGAAGCCTGAGAAGAACATGACCATCCTGAAGCAGCGATATCCTGGGAAGTGGAGTTAAAACAGGCTTAGAAATCAGCTTCAACATGTATGTACAGTAGGTACAAATAGGTTGAAATTGACAAAAGTAATAAAAAATAAAATTGTATGAAAATCATGACATTGCTTTTGAATTGTGGTTCAACAGAAATATTTGAAAAAAACACACAACAACAACAACAACAAACAAGGAAATAAGCATGATGGGACCCGTAAACAAACATTTTGTTGAACAACCCTTTGAGCCAATCACTGCAATCAAGTGTTTTCTGTAACTCTCAGTCAGACTTGTGCACCTGTTGACAGCTATTTTGACCCACTGCTCATCAGCAAAAGGCTCTAATTTGTCTGGGACAGTTTTTTTTAATGATTCTTTTCAACCACAATTCAAAAGCAATATCTAATTCCACACAATTACAATTTAGTTTTTTTTGTTTTAAAAAAAAAAATCCTTACTTTTTCAGTTTCTAGTTATTTGAGTGACTATTGTGAATTTTGCCTTTTCTTTAATGGAAGGGTATGAATACATTTGAGGACGACTGTATACAAATCCAAAACTACAATGTTTTAAACTGCTTTGTGTGGATCTTTTAATGAAGCTGAATTCTTACGTTCAAACACAAGATACTGTCTCATAAAGTAAATCAATCAGCTCATGAAATCACAATCAAATGTGATGCTGTGGTACAAAGAAAAACAGAACAAAACTACAGTTTCTGTTCATAACTGTGAAATAATTGCAGCGCACTGAATGTGTGTTAATGTTTTATGCTGTCCAACATTACATTATTAATATTGTCATTAATTTTATTTGAGTTAAAAACTTGTGCACAAATGAAAAACTTTCTTTCATTGCTATTAGAGCTAGAGTTTTTAGAGAGATAACCACAGCAGACTAGTTTACAGCATTATTTATTGACTATTTGATTTTAAGGCAAAATATGGGCAATATTTGGGAAAATTGATTCAAGGCTATTGTAAATTACTGTAAATGCACAAAATATGTCATGTAGTATTTGACACATTTGTGTATGTGTTAGCGACCGTCTCGAGAGGCAGAAAATAAGCAAGAAAATCATAAAGCTTGTGTTTTGAAGCTAAACAGCTAAATTAGATCCTGCATGGTGTTTGAATAATATATTTGATTCAAATCAACACACACATTATTAACAGAGATTGTGAATGTCCTTAGAGGTCTACAGTTCTACAGTGACGACAGTTCTTTCACTGGTTTCTTCACTTGAGACTTCAACAATAACAGCTGATTGGATGACTCTTCTCATGCTGATGGGTCACAACTGGCTGAAATACATTCTATACATATATTTGTTCCAGTATTCATATCCACTTCCTGCAGGGGAGACTGCAGCAGCTGCTCTCTTTCATTGACATTTTTAACATTAGATGCCGGATGCCACTGTGTGCACAGTCATGTTCAGGTGTGTCACGATTAGCTATGCTTAAAAGCAGGTTTACTAGTTCCCCTGTTTATTATGTGACTCCTGCAAGACTGGGGAGGAAGTCCATAGTGAGTGTTATTGCTCTTGATGTAACATCTTAAGGGCAACATCATTTAGTAAAATGTGATTAATATCTGATGAGTTTTTGTGGATGAATTATTATAAGAAGCTTGAACTGTGTTTCAAGATGGAGATGTTTGTGTCTGATGGGAGTTTCTGTCACAATAACGACAATAACCCTGATTTTTGAAAATGAAATCAAGCAGCATGTGAGTGGCAGCAAGTGACAGCAGCTCCAACTGTCTTTCTGTGTTTCTAGCAGTTTTTTTTTTTGGGATATACAACTTGGATTATTAACTCTCTTTTTTTTTTAGTCTTTATTGTACTTCTATCTCTCGCCTTGTTCTTTCCTATGCTTCATTTTTCATCGAGTTGCTATAATGTGTAAATTTCCCCAGTGAGGTATCAAGTATATCGTATCTTATCTTGAAACACTGATATCATGTTAATAACACACATGTGGTAATATCATAAATAATCTGGTAACTGTCTTCAACACAGGAACAACATAGAGTACAGTTATGGTCAGATTGTCTCTCCTCCTCCCTACACTTGGAAAAAGGTGACAAAACACAAAATGAATACAGTCAAAAATTATTGTAGCTGATGGTATAATTTGTTGTTGTTGTTTTTTTTTTTTAATTTGCTACAGATCCCCTGATAAAATTGTCATCATGATTTGTTTTGACTGAGTAGCCGAGCAGTGAAATCGTGATGTTGCGACAGCCTCAGACGGGAAACAAAGTTTTATGTTTGTTATGTTGGTCTTGTAATGTTTCACCACACTAAATGCTTTTTCTGGTGTCTTGTGAGTCCATGTGGGTTGTGCACTTGTATGTGCAAGACACAATAACCAACCTCAGAAACCCCAAATTGCATAAGGAAACACTTGACAACACTCTCTTCGTCTGCACCGCTGAAGTTGCTGTTTTGCTTCGAATGATTAATTATTTACATTCATGTAATTCCTCACAAGTGACGCTGACACTCAGTGTGGGAGAGTTACTGGGAACACAGACTTTGGCAGCATGTGTGTTTGCATAATGTCACATGTTTTAGGGAGCAGGTCCATAGGACACAACACTTCTAATCACACTCACAGTTTGTGTTTGTTGAATTTGTCTCCAGATATTTTCTCAGTGAGAACAGAGACTAGAATAATATTGCTTTTCATACTGCAATTATATTTCTTTTTTCCCCCTTTTTTGTACAATACAGCATATTTCTCAACAACTTATCAGTGCTACATCCACTGATCAGCCAAAAACAGTAAGACCACTGCCTGGTGTAATAAATAATTCTGATCATCTCATTGCAATGAGATTTTCTGCTGCAGAGAAACTTTAGGTCCTAGATGGATGCTACTTTGACAACCACATAAACATTAATGATATAAACATGATAGTTACACTATAAAAACTGCTCAGGAATGACTCGAGAACACGACAAAGAGCCCAAGGTGTTGCCCCGGCCTCCAAGTTCCCCAAATCTGAATATAATGGAGCATTCATGAGATGCAAGCCGGATTCACAAAGACCCCACTTCACAACCCACAAGACCCGTAGGAGCCACTGCCAACGTCCCAGTGCCAGACACCAAAGGACACCACAGAGGTCTGGTGTCCATGATCTGATGGATCAGAGCTATTTTGAAAGATTGAAAGGTTTTAATGTTGTGACTAGTTAGTGTAGAAGTTGTTCATAAAAGTACAAAATTTCTGCCAGACTCTCTGTGGTCAGGAGCTGCTGTCAGGTTTACCATCAATGAGATGTCATTTAGTGCAACAGGTGGCACTTCAAACATGCTGCCTCTGTCAAATTCAGACACAAGACTACCCATCTGCCTCCTCAAGCTTTGGGCTTATCCAGTCTAAACCCCTGGCAGCCTGCAGACACCTGCCACCAAAGGTTTAAGCCATCAGGTGAGCTAATGACACAGTTGAAAACAACATGGGCAGTCAGATGCTGTAACAGTGACATTAAGCATCCTTACGTATGCACTGTAATATTATTGTGAGTACATACCAAAGAAGCAGTAGATGAGGCCGAACGAAAGGCAAACAGAGCAGACAATAGATGGGATGACTTCATAATTCAAATTAATCTCAAGCGTGCATGTGTCCACTTCGGTTAAGCCAGCTCCGGGCTCCTCAGTAACATAGAGTGAAGTCACTGCCATCTTGGAGGATTATTGCTTGTTTTTGCTGGGCAGCTGGTTTGGACGTGAAGCTGCTTTGCTCATTGAAGGGGTGAAACTGGAACGTCCTGCATGTGTCGTTCAGGGAAAGAGGAAGCTCCAGACCCAAGAACGTGTACTAAGCTCTTTCCTGTTGTGCACCTGCAGAAAGAAACAACTATTTTCAGCTTTTATAGCACAGACAAACACATTCAGCTCTGTTTTGGCTGCGAACTTGAGTCATTACTCATCAAGTCATGGCTCTCCTGGGAAATATTCATGAAAAAACATTACTTTTGTCCAATCTCAGGTGTCATTATGCTTTCAAATGATACATTAGTCTTTTTAAGTGGTTATATGAGAGGATGTGGCTCTTTGCCATGTGCATTTCCCTGTTCAGGAACCAGAGGAGGAAACTGGGGATCCCCTCTGAGTTTGTCTTTTGTTCAAGACCAGGATACAGATGAGGAAACGACCTGGTGACTCTGTGCCATCGTCCTGCAGCTGTATTGTTCTGAGCATGTGGTTTGGTACTTTGTCTACTGAACACAAACAGCTCAACAATAACACAATAAGTTGAATATAAGTTCTCAGACCTTTTACTTAAGTAAAAGTAGCAATAAGACAGTGTAGAAGTTATTTTAATGGTTTTTTTTTCTTCCCAAAATACTACTATTAAAACAACTTAGAATACCAAAAGTAACAGTTCTGATTCTACAGATTGATTCATTTCAGAACTTTTTATACTAAATAATTATGTTATAATGCATCCTTTATTGTTACAGCTAATGGAGGTTGATGTAGTTTTAATTAACCTGAGTCATCAAATAAATGTGGAGTTGTAAACATTTCCAAAACTTGTAGTGGAACAATTGTAAAAGAGAAGAAAATAGAAATATTTTAGTAAAGCCCAAGTGTGTCAAAATAACACATATACTGATATACATATCAGTATATATACATATAATGCATTTACCTACTTTCTACCACTTAACAACAGCTTTGCTTCTAAACTGTAATGAATTAATGCAAGCTGTTATTTTTTAATTGGAGTAGACTGAAAGTGTCCAACTGCATAAAGGCATGGATCATGTTTACACACTCCTCTTATGTTGGCTCATAGTATGACTGTCTGGCTTCAGCATGTATTACTGTAAAGACATTATAAGCTGTCCAGGCAGATCTCACAGTCAGCAAATGGAATTAGAGGAGCTTTAGCAGGTGAGTGATCCTCTTGTTAGTTCCGTGTCCTCTTGAAGAGGTGAGTGTAAGAACACAAAAACACTTTCTAACTAGTAAATACGCACAATAAAATAGAAAGAAATCTGCTGGAGTAAATTAAAAGTTAATGAAATAATCAGTTTCTATTGTTTTGTGAATGTTTTGTGAAGTTCGGTCAGAAAAAGATGTTGCTTTATCTAATTTCGCATTGCACAAAGTGTCACTATGACCACTTACAACATGCAAGAAAACATTTACAAGTAACAGTGATAAATCTCAGTTTCTCAAATAAAAACATCAAATAAAGGGATGATATTTCTGTGGCCTACCTTGAATGAAGCATTTCTTTCCATAATAAATTTCAGCTTCTTGGGAAGAACAAAAAGTGTCTTCAATGGTAGTTTTCAGGTCAAATTCCAGGAAACCCAACAGAGAGCGAGGACTCAGGAGTTTTGTCAGGAGTTTGTATTTCCCTGTGAGAGCTGTGGGGGAGACTCAGCGTCCGACGCACTAAGTCCCTCATCTGTGCTTGTGCACAGCTGACGCCTGACTCTGAGAGAGAGACCATCTGCCCCCAGCGTCAGCACGAGGCTGCTGCCAAGTCCAAGGCCGAGCCAGCTGAGTTCAACTCTCACTACCCATGATCCTTTAGGAGCCCCAACTCTGTAAGTTCAGTGCCTTATTTCATCCAGTGTGACTTCTCATTTAGGTGAAGTTCAGCTTGAGGCAAAAAGATAGAACTTTAGAGCCTGATTTGTCTTTACTTTAGTAACTTTCCCAAAAAAATCCCTCCATTATTGGATAGCCTGAAAAAGGAATCATATTATGTGTGTTTTTAGCCATGCTAATGCTTGGCTTCAGCACTGATATATTGAATGGGCTGCTATTAAATTTAAAAAAACATATTCATGGTCCTAAAAGGTTAAATCATACTGAACCGATACCTGATTAGGACGGAAATGCCGCCACAATTACTAGATGGATTGTCATGACATTTTGAGCAGACATTCATATCCCCCTCAGGAAGATCTGTGATACATTTGGAAATCCACTGATATTTAATGTGTTTTTGACCAAAATAATACCTGCATAACTAACACCATTCCCATCAGCCACAGTTGAACCTTGATGCAGATAAAAGTGATGCAGGTAAAAGGTAAACTAAGGAAACTGCAGTACAAGTACAGGACAAGTACAGGGCTAAGCAGAAATGACAGGAAGGGTTAGACACCTTATATACATTGCCAGTGTGTAGGCTGCAACGCCAGCATTATGGTTGACATCCTTATTTGCATATTTTATGTGTATCTGTGGGATGACAGGGTATATCTTCTGTGGGTCTCCCCAGAGTCTATTTTAGGTACCCTCCTGTTCATTATGTATAGGTGTGAACAAGAGGTTACAGACACTTGTAAAGACAATGTATTTCATGGTTGTCTTGAGTTTCCAACCGGCCCGATAACTCTTTATTTTCTATGATAGAATCACTGAAACACACGCACCTTTGCAACAAAATACAATCATGCATTTTGGTTCTTTCATAGATTTATTACTTATTTTAATAGTTATAGGTCTTCTGCAAATATGACCAAATCTGCTGGGTCAAAAATATACATAAAGCAACTTGAATTATCAGTTTTGGTGAAGTAGAAAGCTATGTTAATGTACTGTCTTAGTGGCATGGCCTTTGAAGCTCCAGTGAGTGATTACAACTGACTATACCTGATAACTCCTCTGAGCCAATTCAAATAGGGCCCAACTGATAAGAAAGTCTGAAGAGCTCAGTACAGAAAAACCATCTCATTGACTTGAACAAATCAAGAAAGTTACTAGGAGCCATTTCAAAGCAGCTACAGATCCCAAAATCATCTGTGCAAACAACTGTTTGTAAATATAAATTTCATGGTACAGTTGTGCCACTCCCCTAATCAGGAAGAAAACATAAACTATCACCTGCTGCTGAGAGACACTCGGTCAGGATGGTCAAGAGTCAACCAAGAATCACTAAAAAACAGATCTGCAATAAATGAGAAGCTGCTGGAACACAGGTGATAGTGTCCACAGTCAAGTGTGTTTTACATCAACATGAGCTGAGAGGTGCTGCATGGCGCAGCCAGAAGATAGAAGATCCCCGGTTTGCGTCCTGGTTAGGACGCCTGGGATCTTTGCATGTTCTCCCCTGTGCAGCATGGGTTCTCTGGGTTCTCCAGCTTCCCACAGTCCAAGTCAGTTAGGATAGGCTCCAGCCCCCCCATGACACAAGTGAGATTAGGATTAAGCGGTGTATAGATAATGGATGGATGAGTTGAGAGGCAGCTGTGCAAGAAGGAAGTCCCTCCTCTAGACACAGCACCATCTCATTGACTGAAGTTTGCTGCTTATCACATGGACAAAGAAAAGGCCTTCTGCAGGAAGGTACTGTGGATGTTTTGTGTGTGACAAAGACACATGTGCTCCAATGACTCCATCATAGAAAGTTATGAGTTGTAGGAGTCACTGGAAACTCAAGACTGTCAAGTGTATTGTTCAAAACTATCCATTTTACCCCTGAAGTATATCATGCAAAGACATAACATTCATTTCCATCACATTGGAAAAGACCCAAATATATGTCCTGTTAAACCCTTGTACCACCTATACACACGGACAGTGTGGTAGATTGACATCAATGTGTGTTCACTACTGCGCTTGTAGTACAGACTTAGGATAGCCAGTCTGCAAGGACACAAAATTTGAGCTTCATGCAGATGTTTGCACAGGACGACCCTTGTGGATTTGGGTGGATGGTGAAATTTACGTCACTTAGACCCAAGTGGACAGAAAGTGTCTTAAGCAGCCCAACCAAAGCAAAGAGAATAAAATGCCTTTTGCATAAGCTTTTACCCCGATTAGGACCAAAGTGCATCAACCTGAGAAACACTCTGTCATGAATATGGTGTAAAAGTTCCTTAAGAGATGTCTGTGATTTAGCTGGCAAGTTCATTCACAGCACTGCAAAACAATCAGTTATGTTGTCTAGGGTTAGATAAATGAGAAATCCTCCCATTTACCTTTGAACAGAGCCAGGCTAGCTGTTTCCCCTTGTTTCCAGTGTTTATGCAAAGCTATGTTAACTGTCTCCTTTCTACAGTTCATATTGACTATGCATATATGGCTCAATCAGTGCTCTCATTTAACTCAAAGAAGAATTCATGTTGGACAACTCAGCACATTTGCACACACAGTAAACAATTTTAAGGAATTATGAGGTTTCTTGTCTGTTACTCCTGCAGAGTTAAATTATATTTCATCAACTCCTGTGGGAGAAGTGGGGGAACACCAAATTCAGACAAGCTGTTAAGTTGGATAATCCTTTGTTTTTCCGAGACAGTCTCACACAGTTGAACTTTCAGCTTGATTGCACACACTGAGATGAAGCTGTACCCTTAACACTCAATCAAGAGGGATGTGCTCTGGGCAGTTTACAGTACAGCAATATTTGAAGCAGTTAAATAAAACTCTTATTTATAGACGCCACAGTCACATAAAACTAAGCCTCCTGCTACCATCTATAAGCAGAACCCTACAGCGGAGCATGAAAAGGCCTCATGTCTTGTCAGTGCCTGAGTTATGACACAAACACAAAAACATCAAATGTCAGGAGGGAGGGAGCAGATTAATAATGACAGCAGTGATCGTCGTATAACTGCAGGGACACTGAGCTGCAATAAGGTTGACACAGGCAGTGAAATGGAGTTGTCAGCCAGAATTAGGTTCCTCTTGTGAGAAATGTATTAAACACAGTACCAGCCTGCAGTGCTTTAATCAGTCAAAGGCATCTTTCTACGGTCAGCTTCGGAAGATCAGAACAACAGCAAGTGTTTTAAAAGTCAAGACATCAGATAAAAACTGACAAAAATGATTTTGTGAAAAAAGGCGGTGGGCTTATTTCATTTATTTTTAGCCGAGCTGCTGTGGTGCGACTCGAGAAGTCGCTTTGTCATTGTGTCGGTGGGCGTGTCCACTAGTTCGCTCCTGACTGAAGTATCATACAGATATTTATGTTCTACAGACACTAAATTCTATCGGCTTTAGTGATCCTCTGACTTCTCCTATGGCACCACATCGAGGCTGACGTTTGTGATTTCAAGGGAAGCGACCGGCTGTTGATAGACATCCATGAAACACAGTCCAGATGTTCATGTCACCTTCAGATGGATTCAGAGGATTCAAAAGCTTTGTTGCAATAATAAACAAGTTACCACTGGAAGGAAGTTCTTAGTTCGCTGTGATTAAACTCTTCATAAAATAGACTCAATTAACAAACTCATCACTGACATCTACTCAAACATACTGAGAAATATACATATTAATATACAAAAACAGTGAAAGAAAGGTTTTGTACATACAACAGTATAAAATGTGCATTATCTATGGTGCAGAAAAGTGAAGAACAGCTCATACATACTAAGGTAAGTAGTTCTGAATATACAAAGTGCAGTGCAAAAGAGGCATGTACAGGAGAAACAGTATGTGCAATGTATATGCTGCAAAGATGTACAGTAGAGTAGCGCAAGATTGAATTAAGCCCTTTGGTCAGTGATGTAGGGAGGAGGATTTTTTTTTCATCTTGTTAGAGTTTTACCTTGTGCATCATCAGGTCAGAATTTCAACTTTTATTAACCAAATACATGAAAAGCCTGAGCTGTACTTTGCATTTAGTGCCAATTAGCAAAGATTGTGAACATTGTAAACCTGCTTAAAATGTGTCATGTTTCTTTCTTAATTCAAGGTGTTATTTGTTTCTTTACTGAGCAACAAATTTGATTTACTTTTTTTTTTTTTTCTCTGAAAGGAAATTATCGACAGTGCAGATTCATGACTTTCTCATATGGGCAAAAGGAAAATCGTTTTTCTCTGTATAAAATGCTGCTCTGGTCTATAGCAAATATTGAGTGGGTATAATACAGGAAAGTCCTCCCCTCCTTAAACATATAAAGTATACATTTATAACATGCTATTGATGGTCCTGTTGCTCCCTGAAATATAAAAACACAGGGTTAATCGATTCATGAGGACTCTGTGTGCACGAGGCTTTATGACATTTGTGATTGCAGTGCAGAGAGTATTGATCAGCACCGACTGTTTCATGTTTCTAAATGAACTGTGATTGTCACCTGAACGGTCTGAAGACCAATTAGGGGAAGGTTATATTGATTCTAAGAATTATGAAATATGAGGGGAAAAAATTCTCTGGTTAAAGAAAGAATAAATTAAGTTTGACCATTTAGATTCCCATTTAAAATGTTATTTCTGGCATCGTACTGCGTGTGGTCAGATGAGGCCCCTCTACTTTTAAGCAGCTTCTGATGCACTCACACGTCATTTCTTTCATTCCAAATGCTTCACAACATTGTTTGTGTCCATCAGGCAGCAGCAATGCAGTCATACTGCACGTCTTTTGTCATTTGTATGAGATAAAGCAGCTACAGTGTGTATGTGAAGTGTTGTTGAGTACCTCAGGCTTGAATATGTCTTTAAAAAATGAACAGCCTTAATTTTTTA